TGCTACACCCCCCCTCAAAAAAATCAAACTTATCAGTAGAACGTATCTATGAAATATAAAATTCTGACTGAAATAAATATATTTTTCTAGTTTCTAAAACATCTGTAGTGAAATCTGTCATATGTTCAAACTCATTCAATTCCCATCCTTCTCTCCCCTCCCCACCATGCCTGATAGAAAATCTTTCTCAAACTAATATAAACTTCAATTTACCATTGAATACACGGTGCCTACTTCTACACTAAGCACTCATCTGTTTTTCCCCATTATCTCAATGGCCAACACAGCAGTTTTTTTTTAAACCTCAAACAAAAAGATTAAAGATACATAAAATCATCTGCTCTCATCTTCAATGATGGACAGGAAGAGCAGAGAAGCTAATACATTCCTCTTGAAAACACATACGCATGAATACACTTTGTTCTTCCCCAAAATACCAAAAGGATAACAGACAGCAAATCATGCCCACAAACCAAAACACAGTTGTTTCATCTAATTTTAGAAAAAAAATAACAAGGAACTGGAGAAAAGTTCTCCCTGGAATAACTCAATCCTGAAATCAGGGAAATTCAAAGAGCATAGGAAAAACCAACAGCCTCAATTCTCCCCTTCAGGATACTAGTTCTATCAACACCAAATCAAAACAAAGAGTATGTGTTTAGAAGATCCCAAAAAGTTTGAAATCTCTTTTTCAAAGAAGGAAAAAAAGACCACTTACAGAGAACATGTCTAAATGTATTATTTCAAGCACAGGTGCTCTGTGGTTTACTCCAAACCTGTTTCTTTTTTGTACCATATTCTTTTTTTTTTTTTCCCTTGAATAGGCTCCACACCCAGCTTGTAGCCCAACTCAGAGCCTAAACTCAAGACTCTGAGATCAAGACCTGAGCTGACATCAAGAGTCAGACGCTTAATTGACGAGCCACCCAGGTGCCTCCCATATTCTTTTAAAGTCTTATAAACTTGTTTATAAACTTATTTGTTTAAAGAAAACCAAACTATATCATTTACATCCAGAAGTATCCTTTATTTATATTTTAAAGTCCCATAGCCAGGTGTTTGTTATTTGATTACTTTGCTCAGCCCTAGGCAATACGGTTAGTTCTTCCCTTTCTGGAAGCTGTGAACAAGACCCAGCCTAGTTGTACTTGAGACAAGCAGTCTCAATCATTTTGTAGGTACATCGCAAGATTTTGCTTAGGGGTACGTGGGTGGCTCAGTCTTAAAGCATCTGCCTTCAGCTCAGGTCATGATCCCAGGGTCCTGGGATTGAGCCTCACATCGGGCTCCCTGCTCATTAGGAAGCCTGCTTCTCCCTCTCCCTCTGCCCCTGCTTGTGTTCCCTCTCTCGCTGTGTCTCTCTCTGTCAAATAAATAAATAAAATCTTTAAAAAATACATATATTTTGCTTAATCTGAGAAAATCTTGCACTTTTTCCCCAGAACTTTCAAGAGTAGAAAGAAAATATAAATTATAATCTTAATTGTTTTTGGAGGGAGTACTGCTCATATCCTAGGGACCTTCATACTATCTCGTCTCTTAAGAGAAACCTTTTCTTTAGCAATCCTCAGGAATTTGTCCAAAATAAAAAACACGTATTTAAACTTGTACCCAGATTTCAGGTTAACTAGGTAAAATTGACATTAACAGAAGACAGTTGAATAACAGCAAACTGCAACAGATTTATACAGAAATTTAATGTGTCTTTAAAAAGACTTGGGGAGGAAGAACAATTATTTCACAACAGTCTTACTTCTATGAACTGTTACTACATTAAGCCTGCGTTCTGGTCTTTTTGCTATCAAGAGTCCAGGGGAACAGGAGATACAAATTCCACAAGGCAAAGACCTCTTCTTGCCAAAATTCTTTTTAAAAAACTTGGTCATTAAAAGGTCTTTTCTAATGAAAAACACTGACTCTTTCAAACCAATACTAATTTCAGAAACCTCATTTCTGAGCTTGTACCTCAGGTACAACATATTAATAAAAGGGTTTTATGTTAATAGACTTAGGATATATTTCTCCTTGGCTTATACGGATCATTAAAAGTTCCTAAGAGGAGCCTGGCTGTCTCAGTCCATACAGCATGCAACTCTTGATCTCCAGGTCGTGAGTTCAAGCCCCATATTGAGCACAGAGATTACTTAAAAAAAAAAAAAAGTCCTAAAAAAACTGTCCAATTAGATGAGAAAGTGAATGAACTATTTTCTAAGCATGTATTAAGGTAAGTAGTCTAAAGCATTTTTGAGATTTATCACAACTCTCAAAGTTATTTAAACTGCACCAAGGAAATGCTAAAAATTCCCAGAGGTTCTAATCAATGCCCTATTTATTCTCCACATTTATTCTCCACTTGCTCCACCAAACCCCCAATCCCTCCTCTGCTCTGTTCCTGCCCTGGGAGGATGAGCCAACACAGATCATCACCTAGGGTCCCCAGGTGGGTTCCAGCAATGCAAGCCAATGAACAAGACCCAAAGACAGAGGGAGGTCAGGGAACTTCCCCTCCCTCCCTGCCTGACTGCCTCAAAGCCACTGTTCCTAGAGCCCTCCTCCACAATGCCAGCTCTCAACTCTCAGTTTTGGTAATCTCTGGAGAATTAAGGGCTTCTCACCATTGCTATTCCCTGGGTGCTCCCCACCCCCCACCACCACCCTTGTTTGTTCTCTAACCTCTATAAGCTCTTCTTTTGCACCATCAAGGATGAAATCTCTTTCTGCTGGGAGCCTGCCTGATGCAGCTAACAATACCAAGTCCGGTTAATTCAAAACAGTACATTACATAAAGAAATCCAATTTTAAAAGTTTAACAAGGTCTTAAGATCTATTCAAGTATTACTTACTATTGCTATTTGTATAATTGTTTAAAGACTAAATATAACCAGCTCACTTCCAAATGAAGCTGAAAAAATCATTACAATTAAAGCTAGGTGTGAAATTTAACACTGTCCTGTCCTCTCAAGATAAATGCCTTTAAGCACCAAATAAACTTAACAGAGGGTAATGATCCCAGGGTACTGGGATGGAGCCCCACATTGGGCTCCCTGCTCCGCGGGAAGCCTGCTTCTCCCTCTTCCACTCCCCCTGCTTGTGTTCCCTCTCTCGCTGTGTCTCTCTCTGTCAAGTAAATAAATTTAAAAAAAAAAGAAAGAAAAAAAATCAATGAAGGGATTCTGGTAGTCGATATTTCACTTCCTTCTACCATACACTGCCTGGTTAATCCAAACACTTTTTTGTTATTACTGAAGCCTTCCCTAGGCATAGGATAAAGAAAAGTTTTAAACCAGTGGTTCTCAAATTTTGGTGTGCAAGTAAATCCACCGAGACACCCTTTAAAATGCTAATTCCCAGACCTCGCCCACACCTTTCTGATAAATGTTTTCACTAGTTCCCAGATAATTTATACAGAAATTTAATGTGTCTTTAAAAAGACTTGGGGAGGAACAATTATTTCACAACAGTCTTACTTCTATGAACTGTTACTACATTAAGCCTGCATTCTGGTCAGAACAAATGTTTTCACTAGTTCCCAGATAATTGTGATGCACACCTAAATTTCAGAACTTCTTAAATTTGGCCAACTTTAAGATTCCACCAACATCTCCAATACACTTTTTTCTTTTTGAATGAACATTCCACATTAAACATGGCCAAAGAAACCAAAAAACAACAAAAACTAACATAGTTAACAATAATAATGCACACTAACTTAACACACCACTGTGATATGTGTTTCACATGTATTATTATTTAATTCCGTCCTCACAAAAACACCAGGTAGATAACATTATTGCCTCCATTTTATAGATGAGAAAAGTGAAGCCCAGAGAAACTAAGTAATCTGACTACAATAGTGAATGGCAAAACCAGGCTCATCTCTGGTCTGCCAGTCCCTCTTACCTGTGAGCTGGGTAAGCAAGCACTTCTATATAAATGCAAGTCTGGAGCTTCAGGACTATCACAAAAAGGATTAAGACTAAGGGCGAAGCAGGTGAAACAAGCAATAAGCCTCACTGCCCACTCCCTCCCCACAACAAGCTGTCTTGAGCTTGACCCACCCATCACTCACCAAGGCCTTCCACCTACACAGCATGCCATCACATACTGGTAGAACATCACAAATCTGTATGTATCAGTATTCTTTCTACTCTTACCTACTGCATGGTAAGTACATCCAAATTCCATCTCCACTAAGTACTGGCTGTGAGCTTGAACAAATTTAACATCTCTATGCCTCAGTTTTCCAATGTGTAAATTGTTGGTCATAATGTCAAATGCACTAAAGTAAGTCAGGTAGTGATTAACTGAGATAATGTACATAAAGTACTTGCTTGACACACTAACACACGGTAAAAACTCAATAAACATTACCTGCTAATCCAACATATCAATCCTAGGTCCCATTTATTTTCTCTTAGCCTTGTGTTCCCAAGACTGTGATAAAAGATGGAACATACTCTTACTTATTAGGAGCAAACTGGTAACAGTGGACTGAAGGCCAGGAGTAGAATATTTTAGAGTAAATGAGTCTCTTAGTAACCCTCAAATTGCACAACTTTGACAACCATCTATTTCCAAACTTTAGGTCAGCCCTGTTGATTACATACTAGTATGAACAGTCTATAATTAACTTAATTCAAAACAACAATAAAATGTCACTCAGCACAGGGACTTGGTCTTAATTTATCACTGTATCATCAGCACTTAGAACAGTGCCTGGCTCATGGCAGACACTCAAATATTTGTCAAATGAATGAAGGCATAAAGGTACCAATACAGACACACCTTAGCTCATTAGTGAATCTTTACAAAAACAAGCATAACTATCAGATCAATTCCAATGTGCCAAGTAACAAAGTTATTTTCAAAATTCCCCCACAGTATTTTTCTCTTTTTTTTTTTAAGAGCAAAACATTTTGTGTGTGTGTGTTACAAAAAAAAAATAAATAAATTCAAGCAGGTAATGAAATAAACATATTTTTTTAAGTATCCCACTCTGGGTTCTCTGTCCTAGACTTTAGTAAACAGTTCAAGTTTAGGTTGCTTCAACACTTCTTCTGGATGCTATGAGGTCTCCATCTTATAACCATGTTTCTGTAGTTCAGCTCCTAACTGATTGGAGAAGTCATCATCTGCACTGTCATCATCCCAATCATCCTCCCAGACACGTGCACCTTCATCTTCATCTAAGCCAGCCCAGTCTTCCTCAGGGAACTCCTTGAACTCGTTGTCTTCCTCCAAGAGACCCAAGTCTACCGGCTGCTTTTTCTCTGACATGGTGACCCTCCCCACTGAAAACCTCTCAGGCTGAGAGGAAAGTTGGAACTCTCACTTTTTCTCACAGAAGACGCCACCTCTGAAGCCAGCTCTACCACACAGCTCGCCTTTCTTCTTTAAAACAAATCGTGGGCTTTTCTTTAAAAACTCTCCAAACCAGGGCTCCTGGGTCGCACAGTCGGTTAAGTAACGACTCTTGGTTTCAGCTCAGGTCAGGATCTCAGGGTCATGAGATCAGGCCCTGCATGTGGCTCTGCACTCAGCGTAGTCAGCTTGAGACTCTCTTTCTCTCCCTCTCCCTTTGTTCCCCTTCCCCCCATGCTCACCCACGTGCATGTGCACATGCTATCTCTATATATAAAATAAAAAAATCTTTAAAAACTCTCCAACGAGAAAAGTTAATTACCAACCTCAGCTCCACTAATCTACTAAAAATGTTAAAGGAGTCCCATAATAATGCATCATGCTCACCTCCTACCTTACATTCAAACAAAAACAAACCTAATAACTATTTAACACTTAACACTTTAGTGATGCCAACTTTTCAGAATTTCCTGAACCATCCAAATAGAAGCCACAAAATGAAGTAAGTGCCTGTTAAGAGGTTAACCCTAACACCTAGAAGGTAACTGTGATCTACTATGGAAATACACAGAAGTTCCATTCTCAGCTATGCTTCTAAGCAGCCACATATGTAACTTTGACCATGGTGCTTAATAATAAGAGTAAGTTTACCACATCTACTTCAACAAGTTGTTTTAAGGACCAAATGTATATAAAATGATTTCCCGAACAATAAAGTACCATGCAAATGTAAATTATTTAAATTTGATATAAATATCATCAGATTTTAAATGGGTATTCCTATTCATCTTTCTATGTTGCTGCCACTCTTTATATTTCCTAGATCCAAAGATCTGCCAGTACAAAGAAGAACCAGTTCCTACCGACAGTCATATTTCAAACACAGTAGGCCCTCAGATTATTTATTGAAAAAGACATCCATCCACATGGAACAGAAATTTTAAAATTCTGCTATATTCAATACCTTACCTTGTAAAGGTTACGCAGCAGGTTACTTTCAAATAAAATAACAAGTGATGTAACTTACATGAAAGATGCCTGTGGTTTTTGTCAAGAGCACCGCCTTGGTTGTGGGCATTACTCAGCCTGGATATAAATAGTCACCTATGTGAATTTCACCCAGGGAATGTTCTTCAACATTCTGGTTTCACTGGAGGCAAGCTTTCTGCATAGAAAAGGACTTTCCTTCTCTTTAACACTAGCCAGATTTCTAAAGATGCCAGATTCGTTCTTCTGGTTTTATAGTCTATGCTTCAGCACTTACAGGGAGAACTTTTTGTGGGCTTGTGGTCATTTCTCAAGTTACCATGTCATTCTTATACTAAATATGAAAAGTTTATTTTTCAAGACCATAAACAGAAAAATATTCTAATACGTATATTTTAAGATTACTAATAGTCCGGGGCGCCTGGGTGGCTCAGTCGTTGGGCATCTGCCTTCGGTTCGGGTCATGATCCCGGGGTCCTGGGACTGAGCCCCACATCGGGCTCCCTGCTCAGCGGGCAGCCTGCTCCTTTCTCCCACTCCCCCTGCTTGTGTTCCCTCTCTCGCTGTGTCTCTCTCTGTCAAATAAAATCTTTAAAAAAAAAAAAAGATTACTAATAGTCCACTAAATTTGTCAAATAAGGGGTGCCTGGGTGGCTCAGTCATTAGGTGTCTATCCTTGGCTCGGGTCATGATCCCAGTGTCCTGGGATGGAGCCCCATGTCGGGCTCCCTGCTCAGCAGGAAGCCTGCTTCTCCCTCTCCCACTCCCCCTGCTTGTGTACCTCTCTCGCCGTGTCTCTGTCAAATAAATAAATAAAATCTTTAAAAAAAATTGTCAAATAAAAGTATAGCTGTTTTAAATGCTAAACTTCCTTGTTCCTTTGAATATTATATAATGCCTCAAAAATAGGATTTAAGCTTTTTTGACCTTAGTTAGTTCTTAATTATCTACACATACATACATACACACACACACACACACACACACACACACACACGCAGATGTGTTACAGATCATCAATTAATAATTTATATTAAGCTCTTGGATGATGGTCTTGTATTTACAGTTGAATAAGAGTATCCTCGAGGGGAAAAGTTCCTAATAGTTCAAACCAAATAATGAAACACCTGTAGGGGCGCCTGAATGGCTCGAGTCATTAAGCGTCTGCCTTCGGCTCAGGTCATGATCCTAGGGTCCTGGGACTGAGCCCCGCATCAGGCTCCCTGCTCAATGGGAAACCTGCTTCTCCCTCTCCCACTGCCCCTGCTTGTGTTCCCTCTCTTGCTGTCTCTCTCTGTCAAATAAATAAATAAAATCTTTAAAAAAAAAAAAAACCTGTAAACATAGTCACCCAACCCAGCCTTACCATTTTTCTTCTCATTTACCCAACTACATTCTACTGCTGAAATGATTCCTACTTTGTTACAAAAGATGGACTTTGTGTGCTCATTTTTGTTCTTTATGTCTATTATAGCTCAAGGGACATTCCTGAAATAAACACAGACCATAAAAAAAATTGTTCTAATAGTACAGGTGAGAATTTAATCATCCTTTGAAAACAAGCCCCCTCACAAAGATTATGAAGTTAATTATGTAATATTTAAAAAACAGCTACTGCATTTATGGGCAACGATCTAACTCATTTGAGGAAAATATAAAGTTCTATCCGAAACAGGAACACTGTACTATTCATTTTAACTACAATGAAAACCAGTGTTATATTACAGCCTAATTCTAATTCCTATAAACCCATCAAAATAAAAAGTGCACAATTTGTATAATTTTCTGGAATTTACATCAGAGTGCTCACTTCGGCAGCACATATACTAAAATTGGAATTTACATCAGAAATGATAAAGCAACACCATTATCAATGTTCAAAGCTGTCAACTTAAGAATGAAAAAAACAGAAAATTCAACATTAGTTTCAGAGCCTCATTCATGACCTATATCATCCTCAGTCCTGTGTGCCTTCTTCAAGTTACATTCTTTAACACAATACCAGTTCTGCAGGTTTATTTGAACAGTCTACCAAATGAACTGAGATCAAGGCAACCTGGTCTGGTGGAAAAGATGGGTTTCATGGTCAGAAAACCTAGGTGTGAATCCAGACTTTGTTCCTCTGGAGCTGTAAGACCTTGAGCAAATAGTGAATACTCTAAGCTTAAATTTCTTCATGTGTAAAAGGACAAGACCACCAACCCTGAAAATTATTTTGTAGATCAAATCCCTCAGTTAACGTTCTGATTATGGCAGATGCCTAATGAAGGGGTGATGATCTTATACTACTAAAGTTCAGAAATTATTATGAAGTACCTCATTAAGGGGATCACAAACTGTATGAAAATTATTAAAGCTGTAATACCTTTTTCAGTCTTTTAGTGAAAATGTTTTAATACACAAAAATGAAAAATTCAAAGGTTAGGAATCTTTTTAAAATTGACATTTTTAAATATCAAAATGAAGCTTCAATTATCAACAGTGAAAACGGGTTAATTTTCCAAAAAAATGTTTTGGATGCTTATATTTATTCAAACCTCACATGGTCAAAAATTTTAAAACTTTCTAAAAAGAACTGTACTTTAGAACCCAGAGACAGCCCAGTTATCTAAACAATGGGCTACATGATACTCCACATTCTCCAGGCAAAGTCACAACAGGATGAGAAAAGAGCCTTCAGCCTCTCTCAGATTTCCTGGCCACTGTTATTTTAAAACTTGATCACATAAACATAAATAGAGGGAAAAAAATCCACTAAGATAAGCGTCATGGGTCATGATTTATGATGTTTTTAATAAGTTGCATTAATTTACATTAAATATTGCAATAGCTCATTACATTTTTCTTGCTCACGTTTCTAGACACTAATGAAGAATATGTTACAGTTTTATATAATATATATTTAGAGTTTTTAATCACGATAATCTTTCCTTAAAGTCATTCATCACTTCTGTTACTCCCTTTTAGTTTTTGAAAACAAAAATGTAACTCTAACTGGAAAAACAGTATGTCACATAGAACATACAAACTCAATAGGCAAATCTGCTTGAGACTAAAATGACTTCTGTTTACCACTGTGCATATAATTCCTGCGCAATTAAAACACTCAAAATGAGCTGGATATTTAAAAGTCAATGAGTTATTTTGAATGGCTGCATTGTTTCAAGCTCTGGCTATAGCCCAATTTGTAATGTTTCTAAAATTAATGATAAAAAAACACCAAGGTAATTTTTTCACTAAACAATTTCCAATTGTAAAACCACAACCCAAGATATCTATGAAGTTTAGTTAATTTGTACAGATAAGCCGTTTTGCTGCCAACCTTTGTACCATGACCACTCTAGCCCAAGTTCAAGATTCACATTTTATGGTGTGAATAGTTTCAATTAAATCTTAGGAATTTCTAAAACTCTCAAACCCTGACTATATTTAGATACATTGCATCTACACCACCAGAGCATAACAGCAAATGAAACTTTTAGCATGTACAGCAATCTGTGAAGCTGGGACAGTGTTCTCGTTGCTCATTAACATCTGTAAATTAGGATGTAAGCACTCCTCTACCACAACTTTACGCCAGATAAAATATAACCTGTTTTCTTAAACCGTATAGAAATATATTTCTGACACGAATGTTCTAGTAATAACCCTACCAAATTATTTTCCACTTAAAATCCCGGAGTTGGAGCATTTTAATGGTTTTAAGGAGTTTTTGGAAATTAACAAATATAAAAAGCTCTTGTTCAGCAGCACCTATATAAATTAACATAGTCAAAGTACTGGACAACCTTAAGACTAAAATTATATCGTTAGACAGTCCCAACCAGGTCTCCTACATGATTAAACTATTAATAGTGGCTGGCATCTGATCCTCAGATCTCAGAACAAATGGCACTATTCCTACACTGAATTTTACTCTTGTTTACTTA